TTAGAGCTAGGGAAACAAAATACATACCAAACGATAGAGAATTGATCAAGGAACACGATAGTCAAGGTTTCAAGTCGATATCTCCCACCGTTTTGCCGCAATCGCCGCGGAAAGTTGAAAAAGTCTATTTTTCCGAAAATTTGACCTTTGACCGGTCAAAAGTAGGTCAAATGTTGACCTAGGACCAAAAAATATACCCCCAATCGCGAGATCTCGGCGAGAGCAATCCGTTGGTCTTTTCCGCTAAGCTCTACGACGCTCCGTTTTCAAACGCCAAGGGGGGGTCTCACCAACCCCCCCTGCATGGGCGAAGGTGGCAGATCGCCGTTTACGGGCGAGGGTTAAGATTGCATGTTTTTTGCTCATTTTTGTTCGAACATAACCTTGAGTTTAACCTGAATGATTCCTGACCTAAGGTGAACTAAGACTTGAAATTTTGTGTGAAGGTGTCAAATTGATGCCCAGGAAGGTACTGAAAATTTGGCGGCGTTGCGCGCCGCCGTTTTCTTGCTATTCAGGAAAAACCACAGGGGGCAAAATTGCCTTCCTCCCCCAGCGGGGCGAGGGTTAAACAACGGCAATCGCTCTCAGTTTTTAAGCTGGATCCAATTTTGCATGAGAGGACTCAAAATACGTAGGGCTATGAAACTGCTGTCTCGGGTTTTTAAAATTTGGAAAATTTTGAAAAGTTTACATATGAAATCAAAAAATTATGTTTTTGAATTTTTCCTGTAAGTTTTTGGCTTTTCTAGAAAAAAAAGGACTATAACTAGGTAGGTAATACCAATGATCTAACATAGGAATGCCAGATTATCCTCAAAAATGGTTAACCCTCGCCCGCACATGGGGGAGTTGCCACCCCCCCCCCCCCCCCAGGTAGTCTTTTTGCTCTGCATTCAACATTTTTAGAGCTACAACATTGTAGAAGGCTGATTTGTCGTATAGCTGCTCCTCTATCCTTTCAATCTTGATGTCCACTAAAAATTTCAAGATTCTGTGGTTTTTTGGTTTCGGAGATATTTTATGCAGAAATATCAACTTTGAAATTTGACCTAACTTGACCTGACCTTGACCTGACCTTGACCTGACCTTCACCAGAGCATAATCTAACCTGACCCCAAAGGCTGCCTGACCCACATAATCGTATTTGGCGTATAAAACGGACCATAAAACATGCATCACATGATATTTTCATATTGATTTGTGACCCTCAGTGACCTGACCTCTGTGACCTGACCTGGTATCAGTGACGTCAAATAGCAGAAAATGTGTTTCACGAACATTTCACCACCGATGATTTTCATAGAAAATTTTCATAGAAACATTCATTGCGCACATTTTGACAAAAAAAAAGTTGCCGGGTCAGGTCAGGTCAGGTCACCAGAGGCGGTTTGGTGACCCCACCTCAGAAAAGTTTGCAATCACGCCAGAGCTAGAGTTTTTGACAGATAAATTTTCCCTCTTCAGGTTTTAGTAAGGGTATACCAGTATGTGCAATTTGTATATCTCAGAATTTTTAAATCTGTGACCTGAGGTCAGGCCAGACTCGTGACCTTTACATTGCAAGCCTATGGGAAAATAATGAAACGCCTCCTGCCTCGCGTAAACGAGTCAAAACCACCCAATTCTTTCAGTATTATGGAAGATTATCTCATCGGTGATGATCCTGGTGCCGCTAATTGACAGGGGCACCGGAGAAGGTCATCTGAGGTCATGTGACGTCATAAATCGTTTTTCTGTCAATAAATCACGACATGATGGTGCTAAAGACTTTTAACCCTCGCCGGCACAGGACATTTTGCGTCCTTCGACGGCACAAGGGGGGGGGGGTTGGTACGACCCCCCCCTCGCGTTTCGCCCCTGATGGAGCTAGAGCTTCGCGGAAAAACGAGCGTGTTGCCCGTCACGAGAGGAAGCCGATGATACCCAATTTTAAGGTCCTAGGTCATCGGATTACCTTCCAGGTCAGGTCAATGACCCGAAAACCGGGAAAATCGGGACCTGTTAGAAAGTCGTAAAGTGTGACTGCTATGTGGTTTTCCGGGGTGCTGATCACGAATATCGTGTTAGTTTTGATCAGAGATGATGTTTGTAAGCATTTAGACCAGGTCGGGTCAGGTCAGGTCATGTCAACCGGTAGGGGTTGTGACGGGTATTTGTAATACGTGTCAACCGCCTCTGACTGGTTCGTAACATGTTACGAAGTTACCAAAACTACTTCGTAAATGTTCAAATGGTTGCTAAATTCGAATTCAGCTCCAAAAACTAGCCTAGAGACATGTAAAACTCGAAAAAGTGAGCCGAGGTCACCCGAGGTCACCAAAGGTCAATGACCTGACCTGACCTTCAGGTGACCTTGACACCCACTCTAATGTATGGGAGCAACATCAAATCACATGTTTGAACGTTTGAAACCACGAAAAGCTTGCAAACGTGCGGCTAATGCGAGCCGACATACGCCGAATCGCGATTTCGGCCAAACATGGTCACGGAAAAGAGGTCACAGGTCAAAGGTCATTGGAGTCAGGGTCATGAAATTTTCAGGGAGCGTGTAAAATTGATCAATGCGAGGGTACTGAAAGTTTCGTCGCGATCGACAGCTTTTCACGCGAGTTATTCGCGAAAAACCTTAGGGGGGTTACATCAACCCCCCCCCCTGTGCCGGCGAGGGTTAACCCTATTAGTGGCAGGGGGGGGGTTGTTTTTATCCACCCCTCAGGTTTTTCGGAAATATCTCCGAAACCGCTGAAGCTACGAGGCTGAAATTTTCTGACTTTTCCTAAAACTAAATTAGGCTTATTCCCTGAAAATTTCAAGTTCATAACTTTACCAGGGGCGGCTCCAGAGCACTGGGAATTGGGGGTCCTATTCGTGAAGCGAGTCATTTGGGCGAAGATCACGATGCTGCACCAGTTTTACGAACAGTGAATGAAAGGTATCAGGTGATAACATGTACAGTTATTGTGCATCCTCTTTTGACACGTTTTTGCTATAATAGGCGGATCCAGGCGTCCAAAAAGGGGGGTTATGTTTTACCTCCCAACATAGGTGCCCTGACACCGCCTATGCATGACCAATACAATTGTAGTCGTTCTCTCATAAGAAAATTGTAACATAACAAGACCATTACCACCCTTTTTAGAAACAGCACCAACAAACACCTTATTTACTATACTTTTTGTGTACCCCCAATCTCAATGATCTGTATCCGCCTATGATTTTTGAAAATGCATATTTTTAGGATCCATGTGAATTCCTGGTTCATTCTTTATCGATCGGCAAAAGTTGCGTTAAGATTGGTTCAGAAACCTGGCCGTGATAAACAGTCTAAAATGTATCTGCAATTTGCCCGTTTTTACCCCCCTCTACCCCCCCTGTTGACATTTTTTAATTTTTATTTTTTAGAAATGTAGATCACGTTGAGCGAAATCGAATGCCGTTTGAATTTTGAAAATCGGCCCGTTAGATCTCGAGATATCAAGGGGGGGGGGGTCGTAAACAGCCCCCCCCCCTGCCACTAATAGGGGTATACCAGGAGCCTGCCACTAATAGGGTTAAGTGGTTCCAAACTGCTCGCCTGGTCAAGGCGCGTTGTTTGGTATGCAGCATGACCATAACCCACAACCTCATTGATAAATGACCTGACCTTGACCTCGGGTCAAATTTCAAATTGACCTGTGAAGGTCATCGCATACTTATTTCGCATCGCCTCGACGAGAGCAACAAAAAATGCATTAATTTTATGTCTCTATGTTTCTTAGTTTAAAAGTTATTTAGGTAAATAATTCCAAAACATTTTATCGTTGATGACCTCTGGTGACCTCAATATTGACCTGACCTGAAGATGTTTTATGTAAAAGTTGCAGATCTTTAAACGACCTATCAAACGCCGTTTGCCGTTTGTCGCTGCGATGTGTAGTTTTTGAGATCTGAAGGGGGGCCGAAAAGTCCCCCCGCCCAGAATCGAACCTTTCAGAGCCCGCCCGGAATAGGGTTAAGCCAAGTGATGAAAAATAAGTGGCCTATAACCTGCCAGAAAACTAGATTGAGGGGTACCCTAGGTTGATCTCAATTATTGTGTGCCCCCCCCCCCCTCCCCCCAGTCTGAGAGTAGTTCCCACGCCCCTGTCCTGGCATTTAGCCTGACCTAAGAAATGAATTAACCGCCTTCTTTGTGACATTCAACGTTCTTTCAAATGCCGCTTACTGTCGCCAGGTCCAGTCCAGGTGTCTGGTGGATGAAGTAGGAGAAGAAGCTTGTTTACAGGAATCGTGTACTACCGCGACACCTATGATGCTAGTAAATATGTCTGCAGCGACACCTACAGACCTTGGTAGATTGATCGAAGACAGCGGTGCCCGCAGCGCCATCTACGTGGTCGAGCCTGAGCGTATCGTCAGGCCCATTTGTTTGAGGAACCACTTAGCTGCTATCCCGTGTGTGCATTATCAAATGTCATGTGGCCCGTATGTATCTGTGCACCTTTTATTCAGCACATAAACTGATAAAACCGAATACGTAGGAGCTAAGAGCGTACATTCTGGCTCATGCCGTCCCGTCGCCTGAATCTGATAATTGAACGTTAATTCGAGTAACTAAAATTTCGCCCCCATTCAACCGAACGACCTCACTGAAACACTCGTACATCATTCACATTTCCCCTTTCCATCTTTAAGTCAAGCCATTTCATTGAAAGCACACCTCCCTGTCCTGACTGACGGCACCCAGGCAGACGACCGGCGGAGCGTCAACTTTGACTGGGGTAGGTACACCACGCCTCCAGGGCGAACGTACATACGTGGTACGAGTGGCTGGGCCGACTAACCCGTACACCGGGATATTCCTATTGGATAGAATGGTTTACACTGCGACGCACTAGTTGGTAATTCACTAGGATTAAGGATTTCACCTAATCCTTATCCTCTTATCCCGCGGTCATAGAATGCTCTTCATCGACCAAAAGATCCCAACGCAAAACACAAGAAGAAAAGCATACAAATAGTGTTTATCATATTGTAATATATCAAATTCCAATGTCACAGAAATCATACAAATCTCCATCGGGCAAGGCATACAAAAGCACACACATGGCAATGCAGTTACTTGGAATGCTTTTGGTACTCACCCATAGGCCGGTATACAAACCTACGGCGAATTGGCAAGCCATATAGCAAACAAGGTACAAAACAAACAGCGGCGAAGACAAGCGCATTCGAGCACCTCTAAAAGTATCATACGTATTCCCCAGCTGGCCTACAACATTTTTTTTTTAGGCCAGACCGCGTTGATTTTTATCTCATAGGATAACTGATGGAATGGAGTATAGCCTCGTTGAACTCGGTTTCTCCTCTTTCAACTGACACTCTAAAAATCACATGTACAAATTGGCTCTAAGCAACTGATCGAGTCCCGTCATCACAGTTGTTTCGCTAGTCGAGGCTGGAGCGCGGCAATATTCAAAGCGGATTCATGCGCTACTCGTCCGAGTGAGCCCAACTCAGTGACGTCATTCGATGGTCCCGGCATACATCAGACCCACCCAGGCAGACCACCACTCTTTACCTTCCCACTCCAGGCCCCGTTAATCTCAACACAAGCGCGCCAGACATACAACTCGAGCCGCACAGCAGACTGGCGTAGAGGGAAGCCGCCAGGGGCGCTGAGCTGTTATAGTGAATGGCGCAGAGAACACGATATCCGCGGAGTCACCGCCGGGTCACCGCCGGGTCACCGACAGGTCAGAGGTCACGCGAGGTCAGTGGTGACCGGTGCCGTACACGGACCCGCCCGCCTTCTCCACACGAGATCGGAGGTACTCCAGATCCAGCTCTCCCCGGGACTCGAGCATTATCTCCACGGAGAAATTCTGAAACAGTCACAGCAACAAAATGAGTAAAATGGATTCAGATCCTGAGCGATGAACAGGTAAGCAAGAGAGCATCTTCCATTTCTGCAGAAAAGTTTTCAACCCGGGGAAAATGACGGATAAGGCCCAAGACTGGCCGCAAAAATACCTATAAAAGATTGCCAATCCCAAGAGACAAGAGGTTGAAGAGGCTGAAAGTAGTCAATAGATGCAGGATGGATGGCGGTCAATAAGTATGTAAGTTTGACGGAATCGTTTCGCATACACCTGTGCTGTGTGCAATAATTATCAGCAAATGCTCTACACCTGTGTACTTAAGTCTTAACAAGCCTGATTTCCTCTTGGGTCGTAAGTAGATAAGATAACTCGACGTCTGACTAACCTGTATAATCTGTTTGACCAGCGCCCGGTCTGTGGACATGCGGGCCTTCTTCAGGACGCTGACCTCGGGCCCGAGCCAGATGAGCAGTGCGAACTTGGTCCGTTTGCTCATCTCGTCACCCGTCTGCAGAGCACGGAGAGAGAGAGAGAGAGAGAGAGAGAGAGAGAGAGAGAGAGAGAGAGAGAGAGAGAGAGAGAGAGAGAGAGAGAGAGAGAGAGAGAGAGAGAGAGAGAGAGAGAGAGAGAGAGAGAGAGAGAGAGAGAGAGACCTCAGGTCAGTAAGTTCAATATACTTAGAAACAGGCATAACGTTTATGTTCATTATGCTCAAACTCTTTAATATGGCTTGACCTGTGCATGTAATAGTATTCAGAACTCAGAAGCTCCAAATGGATTTAGAAAGCGGTGACCATCCACTATAAAAGTCGAATAGCTTTGATGGAGAGGCATACCGTAACAACGTCTCACGTATCAGTCGTACCACTTTATACGTAAAGTTCAAACCTTACTTCCTATGAAAGGTAAAGACGGCTTCCTGTGTCCAGCCTGGGTTTGAATCACCCCGTTTACCTACGCGTAACTACGGACGAAATAAGTGTCAGGTTTTACACAAAATGTAAAAATGCATTGTTCCCACTTATATAAATGGGAAAGGCAATGGGAAAGTGTTGTTTTTTATCTTAAATTTTAATCCAAAATATTACATTTAATCCAAGATCCAAGATTTTATAACCAATTAAAAAACATGTTCCCATTGCCTTTCCCATTTATATCAATACGTCTATTGTAATAATAATCGTTCCCACTGTTCCTCAATTCTGAGGGCGACACGGTAAGCACATTCTTCTAACGCTCACGTTTATTCGGAGGTAGACGAAGGCCCGCTCGTCATCTTTGAACTGTTCCTGCAGCTCCTCAAAGCTGTCACCGGTGCAGGAGTTGATGATCTGGTTACCTTCGTACTTGAGAACCATCCTGTGGGGATCCGCCGAATGGTTAAGCAGTAGTTTATAAACTATGTACGATGCACAATTACATAGGTAACTACATAAGTGCTTCGATACAGCTCTCAATGAACGTTACAACTTACAACTTGTAACGTCCATTTATATCCCCGTTCAGTGGTTCACATTTCCGGCCTTTTGATAATGAACGTCTTATCGAGTCTACGAGCCAAGTACGGTAAATGCTCGTTCACTAGGAGGTAAGCACTCTGTGAAATGAATAGATAACGAACGAACCGATGTTTTATAATGACACAAACACAATACGGGCAAGAAGGTATCTTGTAGCATTAACAAATAAATTTCATACAGTGGTACAAAATGATAAAATAGGTATATGATTACAATAAAACTTACTCATTTGGCATGCAATGGACTGGGAGCCTGTGCTCGCATGGTGAAAAAAATATGGTACACATCGTAAATGACCGTATTGGCGTATTATACTTTGATTGGTGCACTCGAGGAATTGTCAGTCAGTATATTACGCAGATTGGGTCGTAAATATGCAGCTCCCGGTGTCAGTAAATGGCACTGAGCACCTGTATACTGATCTCAGGCAGCTTTTGCCAAATTGTCAGGGAACTCAGATTTGTTTTTCAATAGAAGAACACAATTCTAAAGAATAGTGTTTTAACTATTGATAACAAACCTTCGGTTATGCTGCATATGTACGTAATACGTGTAGTACAGTGTATGCATTTGCCAGCATACTGCACAGTGCACACAAACATTTGTCACGAGGGTGATACGAACGTGCCCTGAGCTGTTGCTGTCCATCGAACCTATCTGTGCCGCGATCAGGTATCGTCTATTAGACTTACAATGTGTGCCCGTTCATGAACTGATGTCGTCTATCGGTCTACTGTGTGCCCTATACTGATGGAGTAGTAAAGGAATCTTGATACTATACTGATGTGCCGCCCATCGGACTTCTGTGTGCCCTGAACTGACGTCTATCGGACTTCTGTGTGCTCTGAACTGATGTCGTCTATCCGTCTGATGTCAATCCTCTCACCAGTTGACATCAGTCCGCTGGTCCGACCGTACGTCATCGTATCCCGCCGCCACCGAGTCGGCGTCCACCGTCGTCATGGCAACGGCACCCGTCTGAAACCAAACACAGACGTCCGCCGTCAGCTGGAGGGCTGTTATGTCCGGAGGGCACAGTGAGTGTTCCATGAACCGCCAGCGTCCCCCAGTCTACCCGGCTGGGCTATAAAACCCGAGTGGGGCTAGTATGCCGAATGGCTGGTGCACTTCCGGTTCCCCTTCAGTTTCGACCACATTGGGGCGGACTGACAAAAATAGATAAATAAATAAATAAATAAATAAATAAATAAATAAATAAATAAATAAATAAACGGCAGGTCACTACGCTCAACGGTCTCATGTGTGCAAAGACTCCATAAGGTCTCAAGATCAATTTACAGGAGTCGGGATATGTAGAGCACCAGTGCACTGGTGCGTGTGGTGCACCTTTCATCAGCTGTCGCCGTGTGTTACGGTGCATATTTACGTCTGGACAACGAGTTGCGTTGGAGAGGCCGGAAATAGTGGCGATTTCAGGACCGCAAGAATGGACCGTAATTGGAATGATTCTTTTTTAAACCGTGCACTGTTTTCGGCCGAAATTTAACAGTTACTACCAAATTTTTTGTTATTACGTTTCCACTAAGAATAAATGCCATCAGGGCCAAATTTTTACTACTATTGCATTTTGTCAAGAAGCATATAGTGCTGTTATATTGCAGTTTTAGCGCGTTTGTTACAAAATATGAAGCGAATAGGCGTCAGTGTAATTCATCAGTGCCAGAAGTTGAAGTTAACTTGAGGGAAATCTATGCTAATTGCTCTTGTCCATCCACTAAAATTTATTAAATATTTTGCTTTGTGTATTCCAAATGGAGAGGGAACTATTTCATTTGTGCCTTCATGTCAGAATTGAAGGTGGATCATTAAATTTTCAACGCAGTTTACATACAAGCATTTGGTCTTTCTCGTATAAGAGCAGTGGCCAAGAAAAGGTTGATCAATCCTGAAGTTCAGTCATCGTACCTCAACTTGGCAGCAAGATCCCCCAAGGACAGAGGATATATTGTATACATGTCCTGTAAATCAAAACAAACAAGCATTTGGTCTTTCTCGTATATAAGCAGTGGCTAAGAAAAGGTTGATCAATCCTGAAGTTCAGTCATCGTATACCTCAACTTGGCAGCAAGATCCCCCAAGGACAGAGGATATATTGTATATCTGTCCAAAACATTTTTGTGTCTGCAAAGGCTTAAGTTATCTCTGGTGTGTTCGGAGTTAGGCTATATGGCTGTTTTTGTTACGGAGCGAGCGAAGCGAGCGTAGTCTTTCCTTAGATTAACGGAAATTTCTGAGTATGAGCGGCCGGCCGGCCGGCCGGCCGGCCGGCCGTGGTCACGCTTTTGCGAGGCTTATATCTCAGCAACCACTTGACCGATTTACACGCGGTAATTTTTGTAGGGTAGCTTCATTCCTTCTACCAAGTATTGGACTATTCCCGATGCATGTGGGTGACCCCTTATGCACGTGCCACGTGCAAAACGAAGAGGTGTCCGTTTTGTAATTGTTGCAATATCTCGGTAACTACTTGGCCGATTGCGCTGAAAGTTGGCATGCAGGTAGGCACCCACTAGGCACTGCATATACACGTGCCAGAGTTGGGGTGCTGCTGCACGTGCGCACGTGCAGGGGTCGTTTCCAGATCTCGGGAACGGCTGGACCGATTGCGCTCAAATTTGGTACACGGTTAGGGACCGGTTAGTAGGGTGCCGTGCACAAGTCAGTTGGGACCCATTTTGCACGTGCGCACGTGCAGGGTGCCGCTTCCAGATCTCGAGAGCGGCTGGGCCGATTGTGCCCAAATTTGGCACATCGCTAGAGACCAGTTAGTAGGGTGCCGTGCACAAGTCAGATGGAGGTACCCCCTCGCAATTTCGCACGAGCAAGGCCCACCCTCTCGCTCGCTCCGTTAGTCGCCCCAAAAGGCGTTATACTGGTTGTATGTTTATGTGGAGTGAATATAACTGTGACCCTGTGCTTGTTTGTATACTTACTGTGGTCAAACAGGGGAAAGCAAATTCACATAACATACTCACCTAGTACCTTCTCTGTGAAGGGACGCCTCCTTCGAGCCGATATTATCAAATGTTGGAAGATTTTTCACGGCCACAGTAAGATATCCCCGGAGATCCTCTGGGATCTGGAGGCCGACAACAGAACGCGCGGGCATAGTAGAAAGATAAAAACGTGTCGGAGTCTTATAGATGCAAGGTCACGGTTTTTCACCCACAGAGTCGTGCGCGATTGGAATGCCCTCCCAGATTGGCTGGTGAACGAGGAGTCCCTGGTGCAGTTTAAAAAGGGACTGAAAGCCGCACTGGGCACTAGATTGTACGAACACACAGGATAAGAGAAGGCAATCGATCCACATCTCATCCTTCATCCCCCCCCCCCCCCCCAGGTAAGCGCCCCACCCTTCCCAAGTTGGGGCGGGGTTATACGCGCCTGGGCTACCTATCATATTCCGCCCTTACCCCCTAGGTAGCTGCTGCCCGCCCTTCTCGAGCTGGACCGGGTGGACTAACCTAGGTTACCTATCCTGACCTTTCCTTCCGAGAACGTATCACATTTCGGTACCCTCTTTTCTCATTTACATAATTGATCATCTTGTCTAGGATTCTGGCACTTAAAACACGCACCAGTTTTCTTTTTTTTTCAGTGTTTTACCAAATGCAGACGCACCATTCCAATTCCTTGCCTGAGGTCCAGCCATCTGCCCACCCAAGGAATTGGCGCGTCTCTGCACGCAATAGGTTTCCACTCCTTCCTTTACGAGCCGAGGTTGTGGAAACCTAACAGGTGAGAACAGGTGAGTTTAACTCATAGCTGTACCCTGCAGGATCTGTACTTGTTCATGTCTCGAGCATTAACAAAGCACTAAAGTAGGTTAGTAATCATTTCCCACATTTTCTGAGCATCTAACATGACATACAGCAGTGCAGAGCAGCCTCAGAGAAGAAACATGTTAAATGCACACTCACACCAGCCACCTAATGAGCCAGTTCCTCAGTTGACTGTTTCCCTGGATGCAGCTTGGCAATGTGAGCTAAATTTTGGCAAGTTGAAGGTTAGCAGGTAAGATTGAGTTAGAGTGAGTACCTACGTACCTATAACTGGGTGCTACTGCTATGCACATGCAGGTCTTGGGTAGGCTGCAAATATGTGTGATGATTGAGGTTAGGTCAGCTGTCAGGTTAGTCAGGTATGCTCATTGCTCAGGTCACATTTTTATGGACACTTGGCAAATTAAAAAACTAAAAATTATTAAAAAATCTGATCTAAGCTAACCTGACTAAACTGATACACAACAACTGACTATAGGAACTAAGCACCTACCTACTTGTGCCTACATCTCATACCATGTCAAAGTATAGTTCCTTGGTGGAAGATTACCCTCAGTACCTACTTTTTATCACAGCCCTGTGAAGAAAACTAATACTTCTAAGCTCTGAGTCACTACTGGCCATCCACAGGAAGAAACACTGAGACTGAGAGCTTTGCCATTGTATATTGGACCAATAATCACTATCACGAATGACTATGAACACATTATATGATTGCACATCGTTGTATGGCATTGTATGATGGATTGTCACTTTGACAATTTTACTACAATCATTTTTTCAAGAAATACAGTGATGATTAACATCAAAATCAACATAAAGTGGATTTAGCGATCCAAGCTTCCTCCTCCAGTAGCCATAGGCGGCGGAACGGGGGGGGCACCGGGGCACCGTGCCCCCCCCTTGGATTCTGCAAGGGGGGCACCAATAGCAAGGTGCCCCCCCTTAAATTTGATGTATTAGTACCAGGGGCGGATTCGGGAAAACTCGGGAAATTCGGGAAAGGGGAGGTTCATGAATCGAAGTGGTGCCCCTACCTAGTACCTATGCCCAAAATTAAAACCTCAACGGATTTCGCCCACTTAATTTTGGTGGTGCCCTATTTTCAGTTTTTTTTTTGCTTTATTTTTGGTTAGTCATGTGATGACTGGTGCCCCTGCTAAGCCGCTGGTGCCCCTGGAAAGACTGTGGTACCTACCTACCCTGCCCCCTGACAAGCCTACGGTGGGCCCTGACATGACTTAGGTGCCCATGGGCCCTGACAGGCCCGTGGTGCCCCTGACAGGCCTGTGGTGTCCTTGCTAGGCATGTGGTGTCCCTGGGCCTTGGCAGGTTTGTGGTGCCCCTGTTAGAACGTAGGTGCCCTTGACAGGTTTGTGGTGCCTCTGACAATCCTAAATTGCCAACGACAGGCTTGTGGTGCCCTTGACAGGCCCATGGTGCCCTTGAGAAGCCGGTGGTTCCCCTGCGAAGCCGATAGTGTCCCTGACAGGCCTCTGGTGCCCCTGGCAGGTCTGTGGTGCCCCTGGAAGACCTGTAGTGCTTTTGCTAGGCCGATGGTGCTCCTGACAGGCCTGTGGTGCCACTGACAGGCCCGTGGTGCCCCTGCTAGGCCTTTGGCACCCCTGGCGGGCCTGTGGTGCCCCTGTCGGCTGTCAGGCCTGTGGTGCTCCTGGCAGGCATGTGGTGACCCCAGGCCCTAAGTCATGACACATGTGACCTCCACCCTGGGATTCGCCACTGATTAGTACTGCGATGGCTTCTTGGGAATTATACATGTAGGATAAATGGAATTTATCAAACGACAATAAGGAAGAGACAAACACATAGGTACTTGAGGATCAGCTTAAAGTTAACCACACATACGGGCAGGGGTGTAATTTTCCTAAAATGATTGTGGGTGCCCAGCTGTAGGGGCGCCCGGCGCCAGGCCGTTTTGGGGCGCGATAGATATTCTTTATGTGGGAGCCTAAATTAACACCGAATTTGATAACATTGCTAGCCGAATGGCGCTTCAAGTGACGTGTCTGACTAAGCAAATACACGCTTAAAAGTGGAAACTGACCGGAAGGACGTAAAAAATATGTAGAGAGGCGCCATCCAGTAGGAGGGGCACCAAATGTGGAGGCGCCAGACGGTTACGACTTACGAGGGCGCCGTGAGACGATGAAAAGG